TGGATTATGAAGAGTTTCAGAGTAAGTTACCTGAAAGAGCTGATGATTTGCAGACTGCAAAAAATGTGGAGGTGAAATACATTACAAAGGAGGATTATAAGGCAATCTGTGAGGGACATGACAAAGATTTCTCTGCTGTCATTTGGAAGGCATGGAAGTTTTCCACAAATCTAAAGTTCTGTGTGTGACTGATTATCCATACTGCAGTATGTCAAGGCCACAGCAGGTCCAATTCAGAGAATTCTTTGACAGATTTGTGCAGATGGAGAAGGAAGAGGACTTACACAGAGAAATGATAGAGATGGAACTTCGCCAGTGGCAGAAGCAATGCATGGAAGAGTTAGAGAAGCAGGATGACCGTAAAATCCTCTGGATTTACGATGATGTCAGGGAACTCTGGAAAGACCACACTGGCAAAGTATCTATGTTTCGATGTTAATTTATGTAAAAATGATGGCCTGAGTCCACTTTACTGGGCTTCCACCAATGGACACAAAGACATTGTACAAATACTCTTAGAATAAAGCCGATGTTAATTTATGTAAAAATGATGGCAAGAGTCTACTTTATCGGGCAGCCTGCAAAGGACATATAAACATTGTACAAATACTTTTAGAAAACAAAGCCGATATTAATTTATGTGATAATGATGGACAGAGTCCACTTTATCGGGCAGCCTCCAATGGAGATACAAACATTGTACAATTACTCTTAGGAAACAAAGCCGATGTTAATTTATGTGATAATGATGGACGGAGTCCACTTTATGGGGCTTTCTACAATGGACACAAAGACATTGTGCAAATACTTTTAGAAAACAAAGTCGATGTTAATTTATGAGATAATGATGGCAAAAGTCAACTTTTTTTGGCTACCTACAATGGACATATAAACATTGTACGAATACTCTTAGAAAACAAAGCCGATGTTAATTTATGAGATAATGATGGACAGAGTCCACTTTTTTTGGCTACGTACAATGGACATATAAACATTGTACAATCTGTTCGAAAACAAAGCCGATGTTAATTTATGTGATAATGATGGACAGAGTCCACTTTATCGGGCAGCCTCCAATGGAGATATAAACATTGTACAATTACTCTACCGACAAGGGTGATTTAAACATCGTAGAAACAACGCTGATGTCATTTGGTGTGATAAAGGTAGTTTTTGTGCAATCCACATGGCTGCACAGAAAGACCTTGTACCTATTTAAACATTCTACTGGGTTTTAACCCAAATCTGGATAATCGAACATCCAGAGAGGGTTTTACTCCATTGCATCTTGCAGTATTCAATTCTCATGAAGAAGTTGTAGAACTTTTGCTGCAGCATTAATCCAATATTAACATTGGAGATAAGCTGAATAGAACTGCATTACACAGAGCTTGTCTTCTTGCTAACCAGAACATCAACAATATTCTGAAGCAATTTAATGCTGATGCCACACAGAGGGATTTTTTCAATGAAACACCAATAGATTTTGCAAGAAAGAAAAAATTGGTTGATATTGAACGAACCCTAATCAAGTACGTGAAAGAAAATAATTCTTTCACTGGCCTAACTCGTCGAAAAAGAAATGTATCCGAGAAATGTATAATAATGTGAATACGTTTATTCTGTTGGATTTCCACGCAGAACGTTTTCTACTAGAATGAAAAATGAAGTCATCTTTATTTTTTTCCAGAGATTATACAGATTTTCACAGGTTGACATATTTTCATAATTTGGAACATGCGGTTTCGGAACTGAAAGACATTTTATAAATACGATGACTATTTTTCTATGGACTTCATTTCTTCATCCGATTTTGATATTTAACCATCTTCAGGCATGTTCATAAAACTTTCCTAAGATTTGTCCTAAGATCATTCCTAAAATATGACTTAAGAAGAAATTAAAGAACATCCTAAGATCAACTTAGGACATATCATAAGATGTATCTCGACGGTGACTTAGGAACATCTTAAGTTAGGACATCCTAACTTACAATGAACATTTGTTTCTTAAACATTTATCGATAAATATATAATTCTGGAGACATTTTACGGGAAAGAAATTACATAGCATTAAAAAAGGAAATCCATTTACATGACATTGTCCATGTGACCTCAGTGTATTTTAATGTTTGTATTTTTGATATTATAAGATATTTTCTACCGTTTGTAAATCGCATTGAAACAAACCAATTGTAGTTAAGATTTATAGTTTAATTAAGAAATAAACAACTTTATTCAGTGAACATGGCGTTATGAATAGCAATTGCTCTGCTGGCATATTCCATGATGCGCGCTAGCTATACTTCTCAATACGTTTTATAAGTGTAGTAGAGATCGTTCTACACGCGTGTGACAGAGCAGTTGCACTTACAGCAGGAGCAGTTGCGTCTATATAGTGCTATGAACGCAGTTGATGACTACATGTTCATAGGAGAGAGCAGTGGATATCCAAATATAAAATAATAACCTCTCAGTGATCTTTTTGATGATGATTATGATATGAAGTTTTATAAAAGTTTACTTCATTTTTTGATAAATAAGCTGATTCAAAATAAAACGAATTTTGTAGGACACAAAAAAGTATTTAAATCAGGGAAATCACTAATTTAAAGCCAAAATTTTATTCTTGAATATTGAAATTCACAATAGTTTAAATATTTGAATGACATTTTTTTAATTTTGCATGTTCTCCCAGCCGGTTAATTAAAGAATTAGAACATCTCAATGGTTTCATTGTCTCTTATAAGCACATGGTATGCTAGCAGATCGAGAAAAGGGGCGTATGAATGGCCCCTCCTTATTTCCAAAGACAAGTTTATTGCTATTAATATATATATGATGGAAGTTTTTGATAAATGACGATTATGTATATCGCAAAAAGGTCATGTTAGAATGATCATAAGTTGTACTGTATCTGTATCTATAGAACAGTCATTAGCATATGAAAGAGGGGGTATTATTAGTTACATAGTCTTTTAGTGACAGGGTATGGGATGATACCTGGTTAGTAAATTTAATAACTGGCGAGGCGGAGCCGAGTCAGGTATGAAATTTACTAACCAGGTATGCGTCCCATACCCTGTCACTAAAAGACAATGGAACGAATTACCCCACCTGTGCCTATTATGACGTGTTTGTGACGTAATACATCGACCGGGTATAGATTTACAACTGACCGGGTATAAGTAATCCACCGCCTTCACGTGACAAACTTCAACTAATCGTAAGCCAGGATTTCAAGGAAAAATCGACAGAGGCGGGGTAATTGTTTTTATATTCATACAATGTATTAATATGACATTTTAAAAATAAGAATGGGTGGGGTGGCGGTCATAATATGTGATGAATGTCTTTGACAGTGAGATAACAACGGTCATGAAATGGGGAAGGGTGCGATAAAAAAATCAACTTACCTGAGAAAACTTAACAATCATAATAAGGGAAAGAATATTGCCAAACTATCTTCGCTAGCAAAGGGTTTCTGATACGCTATTCTCCTCATAAATCCTAGTTTGGAGAGTGATAGAGAGGGCGGGGTCAATGTTTCAACTTTTTTCATAACCTTTTTTCATTCAATCATTACCCTCATTGTAATAACCTTGTTTGTCTTCAGTTACTTTGTACTAGTATTTGATACGGAATGAGCAGATCGACTGATAATAAAAGGGTCCCCCCCTCACACTTCATCGCCCGAGGAGCGTTGTGTTATATTTTTCCAACCAATACCGAAAATATTCATTATAATAATATCCAAAATTTGTATTAGGTAAAAACCGGAACAGCACAATCGATGTAGCATATATGAAAAGAGGCCTATTGGTAACATTTCTTGTTTAATTATTTGTGTAAAACATCTGCAGCTCATAAACGGACTGCCGAGAAACAAGACATGGTCGCTGATACTTCCAATGTCAAAAAACATAAGCATCAAACAAACTTAGGATGCTCTTAGGACAGGTAATATGTTGTCCTAAAGTTAGGAAAAACTCACAACCTTTATGCCCATTTCGTTCACCTATTTCAGGTTCTTACTGTTAGAAAATAAACAATTTTGCTTTTAAATGTTGCTAGATTCAATTTAATAGACACTTTCTGTGATTACTAAGGTTTCGTGTATATATGGATTTGTTAAAAGGTAGGAAGGAAAATATCAAGCTTTGTGATTTTTTATGAGAGATACGAAATGTTCCAGATGCTACATTAATACTAGTAGTATGAAGATTTTTAAAACTTTTTTATTTTATATTTTATTGTAGGGATAATTTACAATATGTACAAACCATAAACTAATGAGTTGGCTTATGTTGTGAAAACAAAAATAATTTTATTGTTATTAGGCCATTCCAAGTTTTTTTTTCTATGTTTAGCGTCCGCGTGCGCGTTGGTTTTTGACACCCCATATAAGAAAAAACACACAACACCAGGAGTCCTGAAATTGATTGATTTAGTCGAAATTTTTTAATTTTGTCAATTTCTCCAAATAATTCTATACAGTAAGTTATATTGGGAGTATTTTAAGCATTTAATCCCTTGTTTTTGCTTAAGAATAGATATTTTTTCTATTAAAGCAGTTTAGTTAGATCAAATCATTTGAAGGGAGTCATTTTTATCACTTTTAAGCCTGTGTTTTATGTTTTGGCTTGTGTGTATTTTGCGAATAGGTAGGTATGTTTTTGAAAGATGGGTGGACACTAAACAGAAAAAACTTGGAATGGGCTTATGATATTATCATGAAGTGAGTCAAAATACTTTTTAAATGATTTAAGCAGCTTTGAAAAAATAAATTGTAGAAACTGTATGTATTTGAATTTGAAACACTCAAAATAAATGATTTTTTACACTTTGATGAAATGATGTTTTAGACAAGATTTATGATGATTTTGTTACTGTTGTTGTTGCTTCTATCATTAAGGTAGTCTACGGGTTCTGAAAATCAGCCGTTATACTGGTAATTTACTGAAAAATTTCACAAAACTTTCTCTGAACTCACAAAGTAATGTGAATATATACATGTATTTTTCTTTAAAATTCATCATTATTTGTATTTATCAAACGTAGGGAAAAATTCAAATATCAAATATTTTTTTCAGGAAATGTGAATAAAAATAAAATTATTTTAAGAAAATCGAAAGGTTTTGATAAGGTTCCCCTGTCTGTATGTCATTCTATAAATAGATGTTCTGTTACCAGAATAAAACTTATGTGACCAGATATTCCTGCTGAAGTTTTTCTTGATCTTGCTGCATCTATGATTGCTTACTTTTGGAAGTGATATAACCGTATAAGACCTCCAGACAATACATGTTTGAAATATTGCTTATGCTGTTAATTATAAAGTTTAACTACCGTGGTAAATTGTATTTCAATTTTTGACATTTTTATGTTAAATGCCATAAGATATTCCTTTTGTGTTTTATATATTCTTCCAGTTTCTGAACTTTTTTGTAATTTTTCTATTTCAACAATCTTGGTTTCATGAAAAACAGTCTTTGTACCACTTTTGTAAATTATGAGTCGTGTTCTCTGTTTTTCTCAGTACTTTGATTGATATATACTAAGCAAACTTTTGGCGGAAAACTTCATCAATGGTTTTATGCCCGTAGTATTTCTGAATATTTTTTTTACATTGTATATATATATTTGCTGATGACAATTACTGTATTGATTTTGCATTGCATGATTTTAAAGGTTAAAAAAAATTTTTAGCAAATAATTCTCTGTGCTATGTTTTTTTATCCCTAAAGCGAAAACTAAAAGCTTGTATTAGGTCGTTCTTATTCTATGCTAAAAATCTAACGATTCCTTGGAAGTTACTAGTTACCAGTTTGCGATGGTTTT